CCGAAGGGCCTGTTTCCACACTGTAGGGATTCTATGATCTATGATCAAACAGAAAGTGCTGGAAAAGCTCAGCATCTATGGAGAGAGAAACAATTAACGTTTCGGGTGCGAGCTGTGATTGGAGGTGGGGTCATATTAACTCTGCAACACTAGTGGCACTTGATGTGATCTACACACTGGTCACCAATACCTTCTAAATTCGAGTTGAACATTTTCTGATTTTTAATTTCAATAGTTAAGAAAATTATGCCAGGTGTACCACAGGTGATTGACTGATAAGAGCATCAACTTTTATACCCTCACTTAGCCAAAACAATTCAAATCAGTTGGCATATTCCACCACATTGGCACACAGATCAGTGTTATCTCAGTCTGCTGCACTTTTGCTTCTGAATCAGAACATTGTGCATTCAGTCTTCCATAGGCATACAAATAGTAAAATTGTGGTTTAAGGAGAAGTAGGATCGATTAGGGGGAAAGGGGTTTTAGACATGGAAGCAGAAGACGTGGCTGAGGAGTTAAATGAATACTTTGCGTAAATTTTTACCAAAGATGGAGATACTACCCAGGCCATGTTGACACTCTATTGCTAGAAGTGTCCAAATTACTAAGGAAGAAGTCTTGGATAGATGGTATGTACTTAAAGTTGACAAGGCACTGAAACTGGATAAGATGCATCCAAAAATTTTGCAGGAAATGAGAGTGGAAATTATAAGGCACTGGCCATAATCTTTCAATTTTACCAAGAGTTGGGGTAGGTGCCAGAAGACAGGAAAATGCAAATATTACAGCTTTATTCAAGAAAGGTTGTAAGGATAAGCCCAGAAAATATAGACCAGTATTGACAACCTCACTGGTGGAGAACCTTCTAGAGGCAATTACTTGGGGTAAAATTAGTAGTTACGTGGAAAAACGCAGGTTGAGTAGGAAGAGTCAGTATGGATTTTTAAAGGGGAAATTATGTTTAACTAACTTACCGAAGGTTTTTAAAGACCCACGCAAAATTCTGGGGACCTGGGTTCAGTTGAAATTTGAATTCAATTTTTAAAAATCTGGAGTTAAAAGTCTAATGGTGACCATGAAACCATTGTTGATTGTAAAACACAAATCCATCTGGTTAACTAATGTCCATTAGGGAAGGAAGCTGCAAGCCTAGTTGTGACTTCAGATCCACAATAATGAGATTGACTCCTAACTGCCCTCTGAAATGACCTAGGAAGCCACTTAATTCTACAGCAAGTAGGGATGGGCAATAAATGCTTGCCCAGCCTGTGACACTCACATCCCATGACTGAATAACAAAAAAAGTAGGCTTTTTTCAATAGGTAGGATTGCCACTTATATGAAAGTAGAGAGATGCCAGAAATGTGCAACTATAAAAGTCTTTAGGGAGAGCAAAATGCAAAGTTTTGGATATCTCCCACTCAAAATCTCTGTGTTCCTTCGTTTGTGCTTATGCCTTTAGGCATTTTGCTTCCCACAGAAATAATCCTGAGAAGCTGAATGGCATTTTTTCTTAATTATTTCTGAACATTAAGGCTAACATTATCTGGTGCATAGACTGAAGATATGTCTGTTAGGAAAATATGTCAGTGGGCTGTTGCCAAGAATCTTTCAGTTGACAAGAGGGCAGGGCAGTGATCTAAAAATATTTGGGTTTCCAACAAAGTTATTCAGGATTCATAAAAGAGTTGTTCAGTGGTTTGAAAACTGGATTTTCTATTTTTGCTCATTTAGTAATTCAGAATTGTTGCTAGGTTTTGCTCCCAGCACTATACCTCCCTTGACAATGGTGCAATTTGGAGAATTTAAGATTGACATTCACAGAATTCCTGATATTCCAGCATATAAATTAGTCACCAAAAATATAGAATACAGAATCTGGTGAAGTGATCTCTCGGATTCTCCACTCTGCCCTCCTGTTGGATGATGTTCTTACCTGGACGTGGAGGCTCAATGACTGTACCTCTGATTGTTTTTCAAAATTAGTTACTCAGATTAGTTTAGAGATCTGGGTCTATTTACTATAGACCAGCAGAGACTTAGAGATGATCTACAAAGTTCTATTAAATAATGAAAAACCCGGACTGTGTGACAATTGATTTGAAAAATAGATTTGAAAGACTAGGAGGGACGTCAACTGCACAGAAGTTGGAATAAATTGGATGTTGGGCATTTCCTTTTCCGCCTGGTATTACAGAGCCTCTGGAATACAGTATACATTGCCAGTTGATGCAGTGTGTCTTCCGTAAAAGTGGGAACTCCAGTAATCTTGGGGCAGAGACTGGATCATGTAAAAGAAATGTGGTGTAACAAATGAAGTACAGATATTCATTGAACTCCTGGACTAGTTTTGATTGCTTTATTGGGCCAGAAAATGATTTTCCAGAATTTATTTCTCCATTGACCTGGGATATATTGTTCCCTCTCCCAGGAGATCACACATCAAAGAAGGGATAGGAGGTAGTTAATCATGTTGCTCCAGATATTACGAGCAGGTTCAGTGAACCAGCTGGTCTTTTTTGTGACTTCATTCTTGTAACAGCTGAACCAGGCATGTTCGCTGAGCAATAATTGAATTATGAATTTTGCTCAGTGTGTTTAGACTTCTTCTAGTTTTTGAGAGTTTCAATTTAAAATAATCACTAGTACCAGCTTTATATTTTAAACAGGAAGAACATTTAGTTTATTACACCACTATTGCTGAAAGTTATCAGGAAAGTAAAAAGTGCTCAAATTATTAGCTACTTTACAGATCATGATTAAAAGTAGATGTGAATAAAAGGCATACAGATGAAAATAAGATTGGTCTCTTATCATTGAAAGCCTTCTTCACTCTTTGAGGTGAAAGGGTTGAAGTCAGAATTAAGCGGCTTTGATGGCTTCAGTAGATGAATAGTTGGAGGTTTCTCCCAGAAGTGGATTCAGCAGCAAAAACAGAAATTGATGGAGAAACTCAACAGAGCAACAACTTTGGGAGGAAAGCAGAGTTAACATTTTGAGTCCAGTGATCTTTCTTCAGAACTATACTTTCTCTCCACAGATGCTGTCAGACCTACTGAACTTTTCTGTTTTTGTTTCAGATTTCCAGTATCCACAGTTCTTTGTTTTGTTTCAGCAGAACAGCTTCTGCGAGGGATTGAAGGTTCCTTTATTTCACTTACAACATTGCAGACTGTGCCCCTTGATAGCCCAGTTCAGTATAGCAGTCCTTTAGCTCGCTTGCCTCACTTCATCTACCTGTTAACCATCTCTCTCACTCTGCTCATGTCTCTCAGAGTTTTTCTTAAAGTTCAACTTAAAATGCTGGCTTACAGCCTGACATATCACAACCAAGGAAAAATGGCTGCTTAGTTTTAAATGAGCCATTGTTTCACCAGGCAAGAAGTTAATTATATTGGAATTCTTTGTATGACCTTTCAGTCTCCTATTTTCTCAAAAGCTTTGAATCGTCACAACTTTAGAAGTTGTGTTGTCCAATTGAATTCTAAATATCTTCCTTTGTTTGATGCTGAGATAACACAGCCTTTGATTCTCCTAATGGAACAGATGGTTATCTGATGTGGCTTCCATCCCTAAAGCATTTTTGAAACTAGGTTTAGAGCTTTTTTTCAAGGTACAGATTTTAAAGCAGAAATATTAATTTAACCTTTTCTCTTACATATTTGCAAAGTTAGAACTCCATGGGCTTGACAATTAAAGAATAAAAACATTATCTGGTCACATCTCATTAATTGCTTAGGGATCTTGCTGTATAGTATATAAAGTGACTGCATTGCTACAAAACACATCAAAAAGCACTTTGAGATAGTAGGAACTGCCGATGCTGGAGTCTCAGATAACAAGGTGTGGAGCTCGATGAACACAGCCGGCCAGGTAGCATCAGAGGAGCAGGAAACTTGACGTTTCGGGTCTGGACGCTTCTTCAGAAATGGGGGAGGGGAAGGGGGCTCTGAAATAAATAGAGAGGGGGAGGCAATGATAGAAGGTGGATAGAGAAGCAGATAGGTGGAGAGAAGACGGACAGTTCAAGGAGGCGGGGACGAAGCCAGTAAAGGTGAGTATAGATAGGAAGTGTGGGTGGGGGTTGGTCAGTGAGGTGGGAGGAGCGGATATGTGGGAGAAAGACGGACAGGTCAAGGAGGCGGGGACGAGAGGGGCTGGTCTTGGGAATGAGGTCGGGGGTGGGGAAATTCTGAAGCTAGTAAAGTCCACATTGAGACCATTGGGCTGCAGGATTCCCAGGCGGAACTCCCATCCCAACTCCCTACCTACACTCACCTTTACCAGCTCCATCCCCGCCTCCTTGACCTGTCCGTCTTCTCTCCACCTATCTGCTCCTCTATCCACCTTCCACCATCGCCTCCCCCTCTCTATTTATTTCAGAGCCCCCTTCCCCTCCCCCATTTCTGAAGAAGGGTCCAGACCCGAAACGTCAACTTTCCTGCTCCTCTGATGCTGCCTGGCCTGCCGTGTTCATCCAGCTCCACACCCTGTTATCTCAAAAAGCACATTATTGATTATAATATACTTTAATGCACGTTCCTTGGAGATACTAAATAAAAACTTCCTTTTTAAAAGGAGGAATATAATGAAAGTTTCAAATTAAAATGGTAATTATGGCAAAAACTGATTAAAAATGATGTGGTACTGCTCATCTTGTGGTGAATTTGTACTGTATATAAACTGGAGCAAGGAGTTGGGAGAGTGCATCAAAATAATGGCACTCACCGCAGCAGTTGATGCCATACAATCATAACATCATTACCACAATAAACGTACCTTGTTTAGTGAGACCTACATGTCTCATTTCTTCACTGCCTGGAATAGGAATGAGGCAGTCACCCTTGCCCTTCAAAATGAGGGCTAACTCAAAGGTCCAGTTAAGCTGTGTTGAAAGACTTTATTACCACATCCATTTGAGTCTGTAGATCATAATGTTCTGTGGATTGGTTTACCTTTAACCGAGGCTCTCGCTGAGTTAAACAGGAAATGAAATTAAACGAGTAACCTTTGACCCTCCCCAAACAATGATTTATTCAGGAGCTGTTTGCAAGGAGAGTTGCTGGTAAGATTTCTGTGCGAAGATGCTCGCAGATAAAGTCTCCAGTACTTATTTCAGGAGGACCAGCTTCTTCTGGGTAACCTTCGTCATTGGATCCTTGGGGTATTACACTGTACGTATGTGTATGGAATACTTGAGAGTAGTATAAGCGCTGGCATGATTAGTTAAGCTTGTTTCTGTGTCTTATATATGATGTAGACATGTTTTGAGTTATTTCCTTAAGTGCGGATCAACAAAGAGCTACTGAGAACAATCCTGTTGCATCTGTTGCATTATTGGTCTCCCATTCAGATTCAATTGATATTCAACGCCACCTCCTTAGTGGTAATTCTACACTCCCGACCTGTTAGATGGAGTATTCTGCAGTGGCAGGCATGGAAAAGAATTATCATACAGACGCTGCCTCCTGGAGACACCTTCAGTCCAACCAGTCCATGCCGAACATAATCCCAAATTAAACTAGTCCCACCTGCCTGCTCCTGGCCCATATTGCTCCAATCCTTTACTATTCATGTGCTTATCTAAGACCATAAGACATAGGAGCAGAAATTAGGCTATTTGGCCCACCAAGTCTGCTCTGCCATTCAATCATGGCTGATAAGTTCCTCAACCCCATTCTCCTGCTTTCTCCCCATAACCCTTGATCCCCTTGATAATCAAGAACCTATCTATCTCAGTCTTAAATGTACTCAATGACCTGGCCTCCACAGTCTTCTGTGGCAGTGAATTCCATCGATTCACCACTCTCTGGCTGAAGTAGTTTCTCCTTATCTCTGTTCTAAAAGGCCTTCCCTTTACTCTAAGGCTGTGCCCTCGGGTCCTAGACTCTCCTACCAATGGAAGCATCTTCCCAACATCGATTTTGTCCAGGCCATTCAGTATTCTGAAAGGTTCAATTAAATCCCCCCTCATCCTTCTAAACTCCAATGAGTATAGTCCCAGAGTCCTCAAACGTTCCCCATATGTTAAGCTTTCCATTCCTGGGACCATTCTCCTGAATCTCTCTGAACCCACTCCAGGGCCAGTACATCCTTCCTGAGATATGGGGCCCAAAACTGCATGCAATACTCCAAATGTGGCCTGACCAGAGCCTTAGCGGACCTCAGTAGTACATCCCTGCTTTTATATTCAAGTCCTCTCAAAATAACTGCCAACGTTGCATTTGCCTTCCCGACTACTGACTCAACATGCAAGTTTACCTTGACAGAATCCTGCTCTAGAACTCCCAAGTCTCTTTGCACTTCAGACTTATGAATTTTCTCCCCATTTAGAAAATAGTCCATGCTTTTATTCTTCTTATCAAAGTGCGTGACCTCACACTTTCCCATGTTGTACTCCATCTGCCACTTCTTTGCCCATTTTCCTAACCTGTCCAAGTCCTTCTGCAGCCTCGCCACCTCCTCAATACTACCTGTCCCTCCACCTATCTTTGTGTCGTCTGCAAACTTAGCCAGAATGCCCATAAATCCTTCATCTAGATCATTAATGTACAAAGTGAAAAGTTGTGGTCCCATCACTTACCCTTGCGGAACTCCACTTGTCACCGGCTGCCATCCTGAGAAAGACCCCTTTATCCCTACTCTCTGCTTTCTGCCAGACAGCCAATCTTCTATCCATGCTAGCACCTTGCCTCTAACACCATGGGCCCTTATCTTACTCAGCAGCCTCCTGTGTGGCACCTTATCAAAGGCCTTCTTGAAGTCCAGGTAGATAACATCCACTGGCTCTCTTTGGTCTACCCTGCTCATTATTTCCTCAAAGAATTCTAGCAGATTTGACAGGCATGACCTCCCCTTGATGAAACCATGCTGACTTTACCCTATTTGACTATACACTTCCAAATATTCAATAATCTCATCGTTTACAATGGACTCAAATCTTACCCACGACTGAGGTTAGGCTAATCGGCCTGTAATTTTCTGTCTTTTGCCTTAATCCCTTTTTAAACAGGGGTGTCATGTTAGCCATTTTCCAGTCCTCTGGGACTCTCCCTGAATCTAGTGATTCCTGAAAAATCACCACTAACGCTTCCACTATCTCTTCAGCTATCTCCTTTAGAACTCTGGGGTGTAGTCCATCTGGTCCAGGTGATTAGTCCACCTTCAGGTCAATCAATTTTACTAGCACCTTTTCCTTGGTGATGGCTACCATACTCAGCTCTGCACCCTGACTCTCTTGAAATTTTGGGAGATTACTCGTGTCTTCCACCGTGAAGACTGACGTGAAGTAATTATTCAGTTCCTCAGCCATTTCCTTGTTCCCCACTACAACCTCTCCACTGTCATTTTCCAGTGGTCCAATGTCCACTTTTGCATCTCTTTTGCCCTTTATATATCTAAAGAAACTCTTACAGCCTTCATTTATATTACTGGCTAGCTTACTCTCATATTTAATCTTCTCCCTCTTTTTTTTCTCTGTTGGTCTTTGAAAGCTTCCCAGTCCTCTGGTTTCCCACTGCCCTTTGCTGCATTATATGCTTTCTCTTTTGCTTTTATACTATCCCTGACTTCCTTAGTCAGCTGTGGTTGCCTCATCCTTCCTGTACCATGCTTCTTTTTCCTAGAGATGAATTTTTGCTGTGTCTCCTGAATTACTCCCAGAAACTCCTGCCATTGCTGTTCCACTGTCTTTCCTGCTAGGCTGCTCTCTCATACCTCTGTAGTCACCTTTACTCAGCTGTAATACCATTACCTCTGATTCTATCTTCTCCCTCTCAAATTGCAGAGTAAATTCTATCATCTTATGATCACTGCCTCCTAAGGGTTCCTTTACCTTAAGCTCCCTTATCAAGTCTGCCTCATTGCATAACACCAAATGCAGTATTGCCTGTTCCCTTGTGGGCTCCACCACGAGCTGCTTCAAAAAGCCATCTCATAGACATTCCACAAACTCATTTTCTTGCAATCCACTACCAACGTGATTTTCCCACTCCATCTGCATATTGAAATCCCCCATGATCACTGTGACTTTGTCTTTCTTACGCAACTTTTTTCTATCTCCTGGTGCATCCAGCACCCCAGCTCCTGACTACTGTTTGGAGGCCTGTACACAACCCCAACTATAGTTTTTTCACCTTCGCGGTTCATCAATTCTACCCACACAGATTCTACACCATCTGACCCTACTTCGTTTCTTCCTATTGATTTAATTTCATTTTTCACTAATAAGGCAACCCCACCCCCCTCAGCGCACCTGCCTATCTTTTCGATAGGATGTTGATACGTTCGTTGGATATTCGGTTCCCAATCCTGATCCCCTTGCAGCCACGTCTCTGTGATGCCCACCACGTCATACCTGCCAGTTTCGATCTGTGCCACAAGCTCATTTACCTTATTCCTTGTACTGCATGTCTTTTAAATGTTGTAACTGTGCCCACATCTGTCACTTCCTCAGGAAGTTCATTCCACATGTAAACTGCCCTCTCTGTAAAAATTTGCCTCTCATGCCTTTTTCTTAAACCTCTTCTCCTTTCACCTTAAGAAATATGCCCCCTAGTCTTGAAATCCCCCATCATAGAGAAAAGACACCTACTATTAACCCTATCTATACTCCTCATGATTTTATAAACATCTATAAGATCTCCTCTCAACCACCTACACTCCGGGGAAAAAAAGACCCTTTCAGCACAGTCAACCTGTTTTCACCCACTAATGGTCCCTGTCATCAGCTTTTCTCCTATGACTTATCATTATCCATCCTTTTGTTTGCCCAAGTGTCTTTCTTCCTCCCTGGACTCTATCCTCTCACTCATTTACTCCACTTTGTCTTCAACATTTATACCATCTTTTTCTAGCTACTCCTAGTTCTGCTGAAAGGGTTATTGGATCTGGAATGTTGAATCTGCTTTCTCTCCACAGAAGCTGCCAGACCTGCTCAGATTCCCCAGCAATTTCTGTTCTTGTGTGTGGAATACATCTCCCTGGCCACGTCTCTGCTTTATAACCTTTGCTGTCTTTGTGGGACAGCAGGTTGGGTCCTGAAGTCAAGAGGGATAGGGTAAAAGTTGCATAAGGCCCTTTGCAAGCATGGACCCTTATCATCGTCGAGTTGCTAAAATGGGAACCGTATGACCTTCAATTATAAAATAATTTGTAATAATCTTTTATGCTGTTCAATGAGGCAGTACTTTACAGGCAACATTCTTCAGATTTCTTTTTGAGGGGAGTGGGATTCCAAATAGCTGGGTCTGACAGAGTGCACAGCATCTCTTGGTTAAGTGACCTGGAAATATAGCTGGGTTTGGGCAGTGTGGAAGGGGATCTGAGGGCAGAATTTACAATTTCCTGACCATTTACCTGCCCCCTTCCTCAATTAATGAGGCAGAGATGTCAGGCCAAGTTAGAGGGGTACAGATATCTGGGTGTGGCTTAAGAGATGAAGGAAATTACAGAAACAGAGAGATAGGGACATAGAAAGATTTGAAAAGGAGGATGAGAATTTTAAAACCATGAGAGTTACTTGACCAGAAGGCAGTGTCATTATGTAAGGCAAGGATGATTAGTTCAACTTTAGACATTTGCCAAGGAGAGGGATGGTTTCATGTGAATTTGCTGAAGGGTTGGAAGTGATGTTACCTCTAAGCTGCGCCACTGTAAGGGTCTGCACATGTGGATTAGTGCACCTACGCATTCACTCCCAGCTTTGCTAAAGATCTTTGCAGAATAAAATAGAATTGGGGGGTTTAAGATGGAGGCAATGGCTTTGGCGTTTCCAATAATGGTTCAGAGGAATTTTTGGCTCATCTGGAGCTGGAGAGAAGCTTGAAAAGACAATTTGCTGTCAATCCAAGTGCTTTTTTTTATTTTTTTGCAATCTGGCATGTTCCTGGAATAGTGAGTAGTTATAGCAGAGGAGGGAAGGAGCTGATTTTATTTTGTTTCAGATCTCCTCTTGTTGCTCAGTTAACCAGTTATCAAGCCCAGGAATTTGAAGCCAGATTTGAAAGCATATAGATGTCCAGGTATCCTCCTGATCTTTCTCTGGTCTCACAAGGTAAGGAATGGGGAATGGAGGTAAAAGACAGGGGCTGTTTAAACTGGTAGTTAGTCACTAAGGTTTTGGAGTAGATCTGTAGCTCGAGTTGTGGGTGTTGAGGTTGGTTGGCTCGCCGAGCTGGTTTGTTGTTCCGCAGACGTTTTGTTACCATGCTTGGTAACATCCTCAGTGCAGCCTCTGATGAAGCGTCGGTGTGTTTTCCCGCCTGGTTTTTAAACCCTGGGGTCCGTTGCGATGGATTGCCTCACTTCCGGGTTTCCTCCGTAGTGGAATGTATATGGGGTCGAGTTCAATGTGTTTATTAATAGCATGCTTTGTGGAGTGCCATGCTTCCAGGAATTCTCGTGCTTGTCTCTGCCTAGCCTGTCCCAGGAGCTTGGTGTTGTCCCAGTCGAAGTCGTGGTTCTCCTTGTCCATGTGGATTGAGATGAGTGAGTATTGGTCGTGTCTTTTTGTAGCCAGTTGGTGTTCATGTACTCTTGTTGTTAGTTTCCTTCCTGTTTGTCCGATGTAGTGTTTCTCGCAGTCTCTGCAGAGGATCATGTAGATGACATTGGTTCTGTCCATGGTGGGGAGTGGATCTTTAGTTAGGTAGTTAGTTAGCTTTGAGGATGGGCTAAAATGCTCCAACTTTGCCTGCTTAGAATCCAGAGAAACCAAGATTTAGAGGGAAATTGTGCAGTTATCCTTTGCCCAATGTCACAAACACATGCACAGTGGAGAGTGCACCAGGGAGTTGACTGCCCAAGAACCACTTTGAATTCAAAGGTGCCCCGTAATTGCCGAAAAATAAGAAATGACCTTACATAAAACTTATATCACGGTAAACTGTTTTTATTCCTAACTGACACCCGATCCCCCTCCCACCCTTCATCAGCTTACTCCCATTTGCATATCCTTCTGTACCTGTATTCTCTTGCGCTTATCCAGCACACCCTTAAATGCATCTGTGTTATTCACTTCAACTATTCTTTGTGATAGTGAGTGTCACGTCGGCACTACCTGGTTAAAGACAGTTCTCATAAATTCCTCATTTTGTTGTTTGGTTTGTTTATTTTTCTGTAAACCACGCATCATTCTCTTTGTAGTTGCTGATGTTTTGGCCGCAGAGTGTGCCTTACAAGAGTCTGGGACCCTTGGGCAACTTCTCCAAGTATTTGGTGGACAACTATTACTCCCACTTGTACGTTGGGTAAGTCCCTGGTATGCACTGCACCCCCTATCTTGATCCCGCAACCATCTCCACTCATCCACCACTGTCTTTCCCCTTCCTACCATAAACTGTGAACCCTGGCTTTTGAAGTCAAAGTCCCTAAATTCTATGTGTTCACATCTTGCAGTTATCTTTCCTGAGTGAATGTAGTGAAGTAGAGGTTGGGAGAGGGACTGCTTTTGTAGCTATCATCTTGTAGGGCGGATAGATCTCTTGGAGATCTATCAGGATCTGTAACATGAGATATATGGGAATTACCAGGAATAAGGATTGAAATTTAATTGCCATGGTAGCCCTATCCAGGCCACACAGATCCTATGTGACATGTAAAAGTGAGAAAAATCAGTCAGATGTCTGTTTTTTTTTTCTTAGCCCTGGAATCCTCCAAGGGCTAGAAAGTTCCCTAGCTAGTTCTAAACTCAAACTCTGTGTAAAGTGGGAAGTCCAAGGAATTATGCACCTTCAGGAAGGTTTGAAGCTAGTGACAACATTGCCTGGAAACATGATCAAGTGACCTTGTGCAACTGTGAGCAAGCTGTTGCCTATTTCCAAAACCATTATTCTCTGGATGTGGGCAAGCTGGCCAGCATCTATTATAGGTTCTTAATGGCCATCAAAAAGGTAGTGGTGAGCTGCCTTCTTGGACCGTTTGTACTGGGTATTCAGGGTTAACCTGTAGTGCTGTTTAGTGGTATTATTATGGTATGCCTGCTGCTCTTGTTCTTCTAGGTCAAGAAGATTGTGTTTTTGGGAGTTACTGTTTGTTGAAGTTGATGCAGTGCTTCTTATAGATGGTTCACCAGTGCAAGAGGGAATGTATGTTGAAGGCAAATTCACTCTTTCATGTTTAATTAATAGGGAACAGTAGAGTGTTGCACATACTCTTGCAGTCAAAAGTCATTCTGAAGTTCAGCATCATGGTGAATTGTCTCATTGTTGGCTTGTGTCCTTCAGAAAATTGGAGAACATGAATGGACATGCTGAACTGCATCCAATTGGACTGTTGTCGCCATTTCAGACCAAGTTAGTGTGTGTGTGTATGTGTATCTTTATTTCCAATCTTTTGCAGGTACTGGTTGGCCTGGGGTCTCCATCTTGCTGAAGCACTGTACAGCATCAAAATCTGCAGGTAAGTCTGCTTCACATCTGTCCTATTTCAAAATGTCAGTTGGTAAAGGGAAACACTAGAACTAATATTACACACCACAGTATTAATTTACAGAATTACATACGTACAAACGTACATGTCCTAACTCCATTCCTAAAGCTTTAACCTGCATCCATTTACAGGAGCTCCAGTGAATGTCCGTCATCCACCTACAACTCATTAACAATATCTTCTGTTTAACCTAACTTTACTATTAAATTTGGTACATGTGGAGCTCAGTGAGTTCTGTAGTGGAAATGCTTCTCTGTTTGGGCATATGGCATCAGTAACCAGTATTGAGTGTAAATTCCCAAAGCAAAACATTGGCCTTCTCATTTAGCCTATAGAGGGTGTGCTATTCAGTTCCTATTCAGTTACTATTTCTCTAGTCACTTTTTCCGGTGGTCCAACATCCACTTTTGTGACTGAAGAAGGGTAATACCCGAAATGTTGACTTTTCTCCTTTCCTCCAAATGCTGCCTGGCTATTTGTATTCTTCCTGCCTCCTATCTGTCTACCTTGGATTCCAACATCTGCAGTTTTTTTTGTCTCTAACCAAGTGTAGTAGTGTTAGATCTGATTCCAGCTTCTTTCTCAAGCAGCGAGGTGAATTCTATCGTATAATGGTCACTGTCCCCGAGGATTCCTTCACCTTAAGCTCCCTAATCAAGTTTGCCTCCTTACACATCATCAAATCCAGAACTGCGTGTTCCCTAGTGGGCTCTACCACAAGCTGCTCCAAAAAAGCATCTAGTACACATTCCATGATTTCCTTTTGTTGGGGTCTGCTGCTAACCTGATTTTTACCAATCCACCTGAGTACTGAGCCCCCTATGATTATTTTAATAGTGCATTTCTTGTATGCCTTTTCTATCTCCTGATTTTCTTTCCATATTCCTAACTACTGCTAGGAGGTCTGTATACAACTCCCATCAGGGTCTTTTTTTCCTTTGGGGTTCCTCAACTAAACCTATACAGATTCTACTCCTTCTGACTGTATATCTCTTCTTGCTATCGATTTTAGTTTAATTTCATACTAATAAGGCAACCCCGCCCCCTTTGCATATCTCCCTGTCCTTTTGATAAGATGTGTATCCTTAGATACTTAGTTCCCAGACCTAATCTCCTTGCAGCCACATCTCTGATACCCAAAACATTTTCAAACTGTGCCACAGGCTCGCTCACTTTGTTTCGTATACTGCACGCATTTAAGTACAACACTCGCAGCCCTGCATCGACTGCCCTCTCTTCTCTTACTTGTCTCTGAAACTAGATTCCTTGTTAGGTTACTTGTTCTGGAAACTTTTAATAATTTCTGCTGAGCGTCCCTTCACTTTTTTTCCCTTGGCTAGCCTCGTGCCTCAGGTTGTAATCTGGAGATTATTACCTTTTTTTTAGTTCTGCTTTTTAATTTAGCCCTGGGCTAATCAGCAGAACCCCTTTCCTCTTTCTACCTGTGTCGTTGGTACCTACGTGGATCACCAGCCATTTAACAGAAGTCCTCAAAATATTGTACAGACTTGCCAAGTTTCATCGGCACTGCACTAAGACATTGAGCCCTTGAAAATGTAAAACTATCTTTAATGTTATATTTTTAAAATATTACCTTTTATAGATTTCTTGTCCAAAAGAATAGTTTTAAAAATGTTTTTTTCATTTCTCTGTTACTAAATCCAGCAGCATTTGCCTCCATTGTACCAACTTATCAAATTCTTCCCACCCTCCCATACAATAGATTTTGGAACAGAAATAAAACACAAATGCCTGATTTAGGTTTAACAGCAGGGACAAATTGAAAAGCCAATATCAGATTGTTTAAATATTCATCAGAGTATTGTGTAGAATCAGCTTTATGTTAACTTCTTCTCAGTGAACAATGACTGGAACTAAAAGATGCCACAGTTTGTACCAAATTAAAGAATGTGGATACACCAGGGTACTTAGGACTCTTTTGTGACACAATGTTAGTGTCCATAAGCCTGTGCAAGGAAATTTGGATTCAAGCCCTGCTTGCTCCAGAGGTGCGTAGCAACATATCTGAACAGTTTGATTTTGAAGTATCTACACTGGTGCATTCTCACAATGATCATGGTAGATGGCGCCACAATTCCTTCAAAAATGTTGTTGAAATAGAGATGAAGATAAAATGTTATCCCTATTCATAAAAAGGATTACACAGCTGGAGTAATGGAAATACACCCTTCCTTTCAGAATGAATAACATAATCTACTGGAAAGTGGAAACAAATTTGCAATTTTCAACAATACAAATACAGCTGGCTCTCCATTCCTTTCTTTATAAAAAGCCAGTTTTTGCCATTCCTCCCCTTAAGATCGACAACAGCCTGGTAGACATGCCACCCCGTGCAGAAATATGCACTTTATCCCTTTCACATGAAGAAATTCTGATGTGAAAAGCGCTCTGTTTGCTCTTCAATTCTTCTGTTGAAATTTGTGGTTGTGGTCTGCACTTTGGAGGAGGAAGCAAGTGAGTTTATGCTTGGTGTGTCTGGGCTAAGGGTGGAGAGTTTGACACATGAGCATAACTGAGCTAGTTAATATTAGTTTTCCAATGAAAGGGATCACTTAAACTGAGGCCAGTGTTATGACATCAATTCTTTTAAAGCAAACAGCCAAATCTGCCCCCGTGGGGTTAATATAACACATGGGTGAACTGCCAGCCAGAAGTCTTTTCCAAGAAAGCACTCTGTTGACCATTATGTTTAATGATTCTCCCAAATAGCCCTAGTTCTGAAACCTCAGTTTGTGGAAAGAGAAATAAATCCTTGCTGGATTGTAATTCAATGGCAGTTCTCCCAGTGTAAATTGTATTTATGTAAATATTTGAAGGTCTTGTCATTACAAAGGTCTCTTCTCAGGCCTTTAAAATACACTGCTGAGCCTAGTGCTTTAAATCCTGACCATAATTACCAGCATCCTGCCTTTCAAGAACAGGGCCATAGCTGAGATGATTACAATGTGGTCAGTAGGATTTCAGTAGCAGTAATGGTCAGTATGATAATGTGTACTTCACATAACTCTCAGTCTAAGGAAAGATCTCTCATTTATTTGGTGACCTTCAAGTCAATATGACATGCCAGAGCACTTCACGGACCCTGAAATATTTCTAAAGTGTGGTCTCTACATGTAGGAAATGCGGTACTGATACGTGCACAACAAACTTCCACAAAACTGCAATTAGATAAATTAGCAGATAATTGATTTTTAAGTGGGATTTATTAAGGGGCAGATGTTGACCAAAGCATAGAGGAAGCCTGCTGCAGTGCTCCAGCAAAACTCCAAGCAAGCTGGAGGAACAATACCTATTCTTCTGCTGAGGTACCTTACAACCCTCAGGACATGACATTGAGTTTAGCAATTTCAGGTCATTGAAACCTTCCTCCATGTTCATACCCCAGATCCTGTACTGTGTGGGTTCGTCTGAGCACATCCAGCCTATTTTCAACAACTCACACTTCTCTGTTAACATCCATTCAGCATTTATCACTCTTGGCACGTTATCTTCAATCCCTCTGTCTGCTTCTCCTTTTCTCTCTTGCTCTGGGCACTGTCTCTATCTATTCAACTTTTCCTTTTCCCCACCCACAGACATCAGCATAAATGCCATCATTTCCTGACTGCTTTCAGTTCAAAATATTAATTTTCTCTTCACGGATACAGTTAACCTGTTGAATTTCTTCAGCCCTTTTGTGTTTTTATTTCAGAGGAGAAATCTCCCTCTCTTCAATAGAGTGACTCATAGAATTATATAGTACAAGACAGGCTGTTTGGCCCAGCAAGTCTGTACTGCCAAAAATATGCTACTACCTACATACACAGTCCCATTTTCCTGCACTAGGCCCAGAGCATTGAATGTTTTTAAACTTCAAGTGCTCATCCAAGTACGTTTTAATGGTTGTGAGGTTTCTGACCTCAACTACCCACCCAGGCAGAGCATTCAAGACCCATACCAGCCCCTGGGTGAAAAAGACTTTACTCACATCCCCTTTTCAACCTCCTGCCTTTCACTTTAAATTTTGTCCCCTTGCTATTGACCTTTCAGATGCCATTGATATTTCAAATTTGCAACAAGGGGTTATGTGACCATAAGATTTAGGAGTGGGTTAGGTTGTTTGGCCCCTTGACCTGATCTGTCATTTCAGTCCGATCATGGCTGCCTCCCCCTGAACCTTTGACTCCCTTATGAGTCAAGTTTTATCTACAGCTAGCTTAAATATATTCCATTATCTCACCTTCACAGCTTTCTGGGAAAGAGAGCTCCAAAGACTGATGATCCTACTCCTAAGGTGATCTATTCATGCTACTAATTTGTATGTTCCTGTGAGTTCTGAGAGAAAAAAAAATCCTCCCCATTTCCATCTTAAATTGAAGACTATTTATTTTTAAACCATATCCTTTAGTTCTAGTCTCCCTAGCAAGGGAAAACATCCTTTCATCATTCATCCTATCTAGTCTCTCAGAATCTTCTATATTAGAACTAGATAACCTTACATTCTTCTGTGTTCCAATGGATATACACCCAAACCTGTTCAACTTTTCTTCATAAGATAAACCCCTCATCCCAGGGATCAGAACTTTCTCTCCACTGCCTCTAACATGTTTGTATCCTTTACTGAGTTTAACACCTCATCTGGAAGATCATATTTTTAACCAGGCAGCAGTCCCTCTCGTGCACTGGATGTGTCAGTCTGGATTATGTACTCGGAGGGACTCGGAGGCAAAGGTGGTTCCCACAGACTCGTAGCTGATCGTTGGTCATGCAGGGTGGACATTTGGCCAGCAAATGCAAGATCTCCCTTTCCAAGCACAAGTCTTGCAGCAGGCAAATTTAAAAGCAGCAGTAGAGATGATTGCTGAATGAATAACTGTTGTAGGCCCCTGTTTTAGGCTTCGGAAATGTGTTTCTTTAAACAGAATCTTTATAGCATTAAGTTCTGTTGCTGCACTGATCTACACTAATTTTGCCTTTTCTCTCTCTTTCTGCTCTCACAGTGACAAGGGGATTACAAATGTAAATGTCCAGTTCAAGTGGGCATTTCAGACTTTTTTATTTGGCATGCCCTCACTCTGGCATCTGTGGTCCTATGAACCAGAGCAGAAGGACAAGTGAAAACTCAACAGAAACACCTTCCGCATTTTTAAAGAGATGGTGCAGTTTCAGCATCATGGGATAGAAGATCCTCCTATTAAGGGACTGTTAGCAAAATCTTGGAAAGTTTGGTTTTGAAACAGTGATGGTTGACTGTGTGATGTCAACAGCAGGATTATGGAAACAACCCAACATTCACTATTTTTCAGTAATGTATGGCTGGTAATCAAGTCAATCTTTTTAAAAATTGCCATTGCAAAATTTTTAGTGTCTTGTAACCTGATCATTGCATTTAATAAAATAGTTCATGTTACTGTTTTTGCTATACAAGAAGCCTGGCAGACTGACTTGCATTCTAGATGGGTTACATATGTAAACCTTTTTTCTACTTCTTAAAAAAAAATCTTACACACAACTAATTTTTATTTTTCAATCACCAAATCTCCCATGGCTATCTGCAAAATCTTCTCATAGATCACTTTGCTGCTTCCACAGCACCTGTGCCATCACCCCTTCACCGTCTGCACCACACCCACCAATGTCAGAGTCCCCACTCTTCAGGTGCCAACTCTTCGTCACTGGGCCTACCTTGCTGATGGGTCACTCATGGTTTTCAGATGATTAGGCAGATAGTCACCCATTTAAAATAATGGTCTGCTGCTGGTGTGACAATAGCAACAGGAACCCAGTCAGACTATTTGATTAGGGGATGGATTAAGTGAAGAGAAGCAATGATGTTGTGATAATATATCGATGTGGTTAACTCTTAATCACCTAGAAGGGTGGACAGTGGCATAGTTTGGCCAGTGATGCTCATTCATGAGAGATGAACAATGAAAAACAGCACAACCTCTCTAATTTCCTGCTGAACACCTCTTCATACCCCTTCCTTCTTTGTAAACTGTATTTGTGCCTGTTTGTTATTGTGTGTTTATTTTTGTGGTGGTAGTAGTAGGTAATAAAACTGCCCTCTCTTTCACTCCAGAAAGCTTTGGAATTGGCGCTCCATTTTTGGTCTGGTTAACTAAATTTAATCGAATTGCAATTAGCTATGTGCAAAATAAGAAAAAAAATTGTTGTAACTGACCAAGAGGTGTCTAAAACAAAAATGAGGGGAGCCATGACCTTGCCTCATGTGGTCATAACACATTATCTAGCAGAATGTTTTCTTATTCATCTGGGCAGTGCTGACTAGACCTTGCAGTTAATCTTCCTGAAGAAGAGTCTAGGCCCGAAACGTCAGCCTTCCTGCTCCTCTGATGCTGCTTGGCCTGCTGTGTTCATCCAGCTCTACACCTTGTTATCTCTGTAAGAGAATGTGAAGGTCAGTTTGCATCAGGAGCTGCATTTCCAAGCAAAAGAAAAGATTCCGGTTTGAGCATTAGTTTTCAGTGTTACAGTCATGATCTGAAAGACGAATCACAATCTCATCTGATAAGGAGAGTTGCTTACCACCCTGGGTGTATCAGAACAAAAGATACTATTTTTCTACAGTCCACCAGACAATGTTACAAATTCCAATCATTAAATTTGTTTTTTTTTAACCAAAATTCACAAAAGAGAAGGTACTGGGTAAATGCTAAATTAGTTGAAGGCGCGATGAGAGCTTTCATAATAAATTAATGTGCTAGGGAAGTTAGGGTTAAGGATGACAAACTAACAAGATTTATATGGGAACAAACTCAGTGGATTTTAACAAATCTAGAAGTGAGTGGACGTGTTGCTGGGAAACCAGAGATGCCAATGTTACAGCCAAATTCAAACTGACAGAACTCATCTGGGTAATCAGACGCCAATTAAGGATTGTTACAGAGATAGTAGGGACTGCCGATGCTGGAGAATCTGAGACAACAAGATGTAGAGCTGGATGAACACAGCAGGCCAAGCAGCATCAGAGGAGCAGGAAAGCTGATGTTTTGGGTCTAGACCCTTCTTCAGAAATGGGGGAGGGGAAGGGGATTCTGAAATAAATAGGGAGAAACGGGGAGGCGGATAGAAGATGGATAAAGGAGAAGATAGGTGTAGAGGAGACACACAGGTCAAAGAGGCAGGGGTGGAGCCAGTAAAGGTGAGTGTAGGTGGGGTGGACTTCACAAGCTTCAAAATCTCCCCTCCCCCGACCGCATCCCAAAACCAGCCCAGCTCGTACCCACCTCCCCAACCTGTCCTTCCTCCCACCTATCCACTCCTCCCACCTCAGGCCCCACCCCCATCTCCTACCTACTAGCCTCATCCGCCTCCTTGACCTGTTCGTCCTCCCTGGACTGACCTATCCCCTCCCTAACTCCCCACCTACACTCACCTTTACTGGCTCCAACCCCGCCTCCTTGACCTGTCTGTCTCCTCTCCACCTATCTTCTCCGTTATCCATATTCTATCCGGAGACAAGGGTGCTGACTCTTAATAAAGGAAACTATGAAGATATGAGGCGTGCGTTGGCCTTGATAGATTGGGGATTGTCTGGATTTTCAAAATTTATGGATGTACATATTAGGGATTGTCTGTCAAATTCTGATATTTTTCCATTGAAGTGAATAGCTTTCTTCATCATACATGTAATCAGAAGTAGCCAATGTGGATTTTAGAGAGTAGGTACATTCCTGCCAAACTTGATGGAACTTATTGAGGTGACAGGTATGTTAGAAGGGAGAATGCAGTGGATGTGGTGAAAAGGGACTTTCAGAAGCTTATCACAGGACTCCACACCAAAGACTATTGCAATCTTAAGTATGGGTCCCCAAAATGATTAGAGATAGGTACAAGTGTTTTTGTTTTCTTTCATGGGATGTGAGCATTGTCAGCTAGGTCAGCATTGGTTGCCAATCCCTAATTGATGTTGAACTGAGTGGCTTGCTAGGCCGTTGTATGGGTAGTTAAGAGTCAGCCACATTGCTATGGGTCTGGAGTCACAAACAGACCTGACCAAGTAAGGACAACAGATTTCCTTCCCTAACCAGAATTAAAAGGCACTAGTGAACCAGTCAGGTTTTTACTGAAATTGATTATAGTTTCATAATCACCATTAATAGCTTAATAGCCCAGGTTTTTTTTTATTAGTTGAGTTAAAATTCCACTGCTGTGGTAGGATCTTAAACCACATCCTCAGAGTATTAGCTTTGGCATCTAAATTAGTCATCCAGTGACACTGCTACTATACTACTATTCCTCTGTTGTCTTTTGTTTTGGGACTACCTCTGCGTATTGTATTTTCATCACAATGACATGCATCTTGGGCCATGGAAGAATGGCACTAAAGGTGAAACTGGTACGAGACATAGTAATTAATTCAGCAAACCAAAGGAAACTCCAGAGGGTCATTGATAAGATGATGAAATGGTTTTAAAAAAGTAGGACAAAATCAAATGCCAGTGAAAGTATTTTGGTAGATGTAAGAACTATACCTTGAAAGGGGCAGTTTAAGAGTTCAGTTCATGCAATATTAACAATGGGCATCCATGGTCTGTGGGTTCATGGCCTGAGGAAGCATATCGACAATGCTGAAAACCTTCCCACACAGGGTCTCCAAGGCCCAACATGAAGACACACAGATTGCCAAGCTATACATGAATTTAGACTACAAGAAATATGAGGATACATTGATATGCATTCAGTGCGAACATTTATTATCTAATATAATATTAATTAAAGTTACATAACACAAAAAGAAACATACAAATTGCCTTTGCATAAGATAATCCTTTAGAACGTAAACTAGCTATCTTCATTCGGACGATAATTAACTTCTAATAAAAAGTGCTCTACAGCAGAGGTATTGGACCTATGCACTGCTTCTGAACCTGATCCAGCTCTTTTAAGGCCAGATAACTCACTCCTTTGTGATTTTATTATTTTCTTTCATTTTTGTGTATTTGAAGGTTTGGAATGGTTGTTCCATGTACTGCTTTCATCATTACTTGAAAACCCTATATATCAGAATCCAAGTTTTGTTCGTATCAGGAGTTTGTGTTGTCTGTACGAACAAATTTGAATCCGGACTTAAGCTTTATATGTGGCGATGGAGATATAGTTGTAGAGTACCTCACTCCAGAAAATCATGCTGTGTTTAAAGGAATTCAATGTCTCTCACTTGCGAGAAAAGGGTTGTCTTTATCCAACAATCATTCTGATGCCCATCCAATGCCACATATCCATGTACCGACTTATGTGGGGCATTGGATAGCAATGATGAGTCTTTGTTAAGTTTCCCATCTCTACCCAGGGGCTCTGAGGTTGACCGTGCTGTCCTATGTTGAGCAATCAGCCAACTCAGCACAGGTCCTGATTGAAGCCTTCCAGTTCGATGTGATGCCCTGCCAATGACAAGCTGTTTACTCTTTAAAGTAAATATACATCAACCAGATTAGACAGCCTCAGTTGGGGCAGTGTAACAAAAAAATTGCAATGTTAACAGAAACTTACAATTGAAACTTATCAAAATTAAATCAAAATGTCATTGCCGGGAGTGATAACGCACCCCAATCTTTGCAGATCACACGAGTACCTAATGCAAGTTCTTCCTGATATTTTCTAACTCACCCTCATTTCTAAACACAGAGTACTGGAGTAATACGGCATGGAAACAGGCTCTTCAGCCCAAACTGGTCCATGCTGACCATGGTGTCCACTCAGCTAGTTCGAATTGTTCACATTTGGTCCATATCCTTCTAAACTCTTCCCATCCATGAACCTATCCAAATGTTTCTTAAATGTTGCTATTGTACCTGCCTCAACCACTTTCTCTAGCAGCCCATTCCATATACGCATCACTCTCTGCGTGAAGAAGTTGCCCCTCAGGTCCTTCTTAAATCTTTCCCTTTTCACCTCAAACCTATGACCTCTAGTTTTCAATTCCTCATCCCTGGAAAAAGACTATATGCATTCATCCTATCTATGCCTCTCATGATTTTACACACCTCAATAAGGTCACCCCTTATTCTCCTATGTTCCAAGGAAAAAAGTCCTACCCTGGCCAACCTCTTCCTATAACTCAGGATTACTAGTCCTGGAAATATCTTCATAAATCTTTGTACATTTTCCAGTTTAACTATGTCTTTCCTGTAACAGGGTGACCAAAACTGTACATAATACTCCAAGTGTGGCCTCACCAATGATGTATACAACTGTAACATAACATCCCAACTCCTTTACTCAATGTCTCGACCGATGAAAGCCAGCATGCTAAATGCCTTCTTCACCATTCTGTCTACCTGTGATGTTGCTTTCAAAGAACTATGTACTTGTACTCCTAGGTCCCTCTGTTCCACAACAGTCCTCAGGACCTTACCATTTACTGTATAAGTCCTACCGTGGTTTGATTTTCCAAAGTGCAACACCTTACACTTATCTATATTGAATTATATTTGCCAATCCTTAGCCCACATCACCATCTGATCAAGATCTCTCTGTAATCTTTGATAACCTTCCTCACTACCAACAATATTTCCTAATTTTGTATCATCCGCAAACTTACTAATCAAGCCTTGGACATTCACATCCAGATCATTTATGTAAATAACAAATAACAAAGGTCCAGCACTGACCCCTGTGGTACACCACTATTCACAGGCCTCCAGTCCAAGAGACAACCTTCAACCATCACCCTTTGCTTCCTGCCATTGAGTCAATTTTGAATCCAGTTAGCTAGCTCTCCCTGGATTCCATGCAACCTAACCTTCATGACTAGCCTGCTGTGCGGGACTTTGTCAAAGGCCTTAATAAAGTCCGTACAGACAACATCCATTGCCCCACCCTCATCTATCCTCTTGGTTACCTCTTTGAAAAACTCTAAAAGATTTGTCAGACATGACTTTCCATGCACAAATGCATGCTGACTAAATATTTACCCTTGCTTTTTAATTTCCATGGAATTAGTGGCTCATTTTGTACGCATCTGAACAAAAGAATCATCTGAACCTCTACAGGCTGAAAGCAATCCTGGGATCGGGAGACAATTTGGCTTCACGCTCCCC